GGATTTGGCTAAATTAAATTGCGCTTATTTTAATAAGGTTAGGTAGGTTATCTAAGGTTCTTTTCGTACAAACTTATTAATTTTTAAATAAACATAAATTAAAAAATATATATCTTTAAACGTTGTGTGTGTGTGTGTGTGTGTGTGTGTGTGTGTGTGTGTGGCTTCTAACATTATCAATGTGAGAAGTCACGAAAGAGCTTGGAATTTCACTATTTTTTTCACAGTGACACACACACACACACACACACACACACACACACACATTATATATATATATATATATATATATATATTATATATATATATATATATATATATATATATATATATATAAAGTGTAATGAACATATATCAATTCTCAGTAATAACCCACACCGAGACAAAAACGCAGGAGGTTGGTTGATCTGTATATTTCGACCCCCATCTGGTATCCTCTTCAGATACACAAGTGAAAGGAGAACATTAAATTATTGGTATATATTCAGCTACCTGTGTGTTGCTGATCTTGCAACATTGTACAGCTTTTAACGACGCGCGAGAGTGAGAAAGATCTTGAGCTAAAGATTTCCATCCTCACATGGCTTGTTTCGCATTTCTGAGATCGCTTGTTTGCGATTATTCTTTATATATATACCTATGCATAAAGGTGTTCTGAGATGAAGCCAGCACACCAAATGTCTTGATAAAACTCATCTAGGGGAAATGTATAATAGTATTAGTGCATAAGAGTGAGTGCTGATATCAGGTATAGTAAATGAGCCGAGGGTGTGTTCAGCTTCATAGTCTGGAAAATAAACTAGGAAAACACAAAACCCTATTCATCACTGCAGGTTAGGTTACCTACGATTTATCAGGAAACAAGACGAAGGGGTTAGACAAAAGGTCTTAGTCATATGATGACCCGTAGCTGGAGATTTTGGCCATCTGACCGAGGCCTTCCACTGGCTTACCGTCCCATTCCTTTAAAAATGATGGTGGTAATTATTATTGTCACTGTCCTCTCGTCTGTGCGTTCCATTGCCCACAGTTTATTGGCAGAATAAGCATTAGTGTTTCTAAGAGGGTTGGGCAATGAACTCGTTTAGGAATTTCGAGGACCTCAAAGGAGCAAGTTTTATTTGGAAGTCCTCAGTGTTGGAGCCCCAGACACAACCTCCATAGTTCTTTTTGATCAGTCTTCCTCCTCATTTACTTGTCTCTTACATTTCTTAACTTTTGTTGTCACACCTTTCCTTATCTTTTATCTTTAACTTGTGTGCACACTATCCTTTGAGCCGTGAGAGTGTGCGTGTATTTGTGCACTGGCATGTGTGTGTGTGTTTGCCTGTATGATTTTGCTGGCACATATGTTAAGAAACTTGTGAGTTACGAGTGTTTGAGTGTAAATCAGTGTGTTTTATGTATTAGCGTGTGTGAGTGCGTGTATGTGATGTACGCAAATATATGTTATTCAATGTCTACATGGCTACTAATACATCACGCCTGGCGTTTTTGTCAATAATCCGAATTAAATGCATGAACTGTTTTGTTCTTGTGAGAATCCGGATTTATTTATTACATGTTAAGTAAAAAAAATCCTGCTCCTTATTCTCTCACCACGTATTCCTTATCTTTTCTTTCTTCTCTCTCTCTCTCTCTCTCTCTCCACTTCCTGATTTTCCTCTCCTTCAGTCACCCCCCCCCTCTCATCCCCTCACTTCCCATCAACCTCGTTATTATGAAGCAGACACACACCTCATTATAGTGACTCACCGACCAGACCCAACAAGGCAGTTAGGTAGAGCCTAACTGCCTTGTTAAGTGCGTGACATCTCAATGACTTTGTTGATGGTAAGCGGATGAATCAGTGGATGTCTTGTGGATAATTGGATGATGCATAAATGGCTGTATACTGCATAAATTGATGGATTTAGGTTGATTAGTTGGGTTGAACGATTGGAGAATTATTAGGAATAATTTGTTTGCTCAATAATTGGATGAAGGAATAAATGGATAATGAAAGGGGTAAATAGATAAAGAATTAAATGTCTTTGAATGGTATTTCCGGTATGAATGGATTTGTGGATGGATTTTTTTTTGTGATATAGGACAGAGTGGATAATGTAGTGTAAGGTCTAGTGGGTCGTGTATTGGCAACACTTGTAAATAATAAGCCAATATATTTTCGTTGGATTAATTCGCACACAACCCACACTTAAAAGCGAAACTCTGTGACAATATTTAGACTTTCCTGGACTAATGTGATATGACAATGATCTAGCAGGGACCGAAACATGGTTTTAAGGTTCCCCTTCGTTGTGGGTTTTGGTAAGAAAATGGTGTTCATTATCAGTATTATCTTAACATTCTAGAGTAATTATATTTATCTAAGACATAAATTGTATCGCAAGTAATGCAGTAGTAATATAAATCCCTCATTTACATTACTTTCTAGTATATAATAAACGAGATCTTCAGACCAATCAGTAGCTATTTCTTCATCTCGTTTAGGTAGTTCTTGCTGCATTCAGTTGAATAGCTTAGAGCAGGGGTTCCCAGCCGGGGGTTCACGGACCCCCGGGGGTTGGAGATGGCATATCAGGGTGGGAGATAGCATTTCAAGGGGTGGGAGATGGCATTTCAGGGGAAGATGGCATTTCAGGGGGTGGGAGATGGCATTTCATGGGGGAAATGGCATTTCAGGGGGGAGATGGCATTTCAGGGGGTGGAAGATGGCAATTCAGGGGGTGGTAGATAAAATTTGAAGGGTATGCGACAAAGAGTCGTATTTATTTTACCAAAAACTTTTCTAATTGCTCAGTTTAGATTTGTATTTTATGCATTTAATCTACAAATGTGATAACTTTTGTAATATATGAAAGGTTAGGAACCCCTGACTTAGTACAGGCGAATAACATAATATTATCTTGGTTTCTCATATTTTGAAAGTTCTCGTTATTCAGCCCGTCTGGTTCTCTACAGTTCGGAAAGTAATAGCTATGCGCCTTTAAGGTTTAATGTTCAGATATGGTTAAAGACTCACTCGCCATGGGTTCTAACCCCATCAATACCGTGGTTGGTTTTCTAACGTGCTATTTTTGACGTCTTTCCAGTGGTTCGTGTGGGTTTTTTGTACCTACTTTGCTCCCACTAGTTAACTATCATTACCACCACTAGCAGCACCACCAACACTTCTACTACCACCATTATCACCTCCACCACCATCGCCACCACCACAACTGGGCAACACAAACAAAACTATCACCACAGCCATCACCACCTCCACAACTACCATCACCACCAACACCACCACAACTACCATCACCACCAACACCACCACAACTACCATCACCACCAACACCACCACAACTACCAACACCACCACAACTACAACTACTACAATCATTACCATCACCACCACAACTACCAAAACCACCACTACCAAAACGCTTGTCTACTATTGACCGGCGTCTCATGTTTCTCTCTCTCTCTCTCTCTCTCTCTCTCACACCCTTACTACTGTTGTTGCTGTTGTTTTTGTTCCTCTTTTTTCTTATTGCTGTTGATCTTTTCTTCACTAATTGTTATGCTTATTCAACTTTTCATGATCTTCTCTTTCTGATCCTTGTTCCTCTTTTTGTTTTTGTACAGCTGTAATTTTCAACCTAAGGAAGATTTATCTAGAACATAAATATTAACAAAATACACACACACAATGTATGAATGTATATCTAGTGGGTTATTCATTTCATAGATTATTTATCTCGTCCATCCCTTCAGAGGCTGGACGGGAGCCAAGGATGCAGCCGGCATTTCCCCTCTGGATATCCACACTTAGACACTGGATCAGGTCAATGGGAGCCCTTGGATTTCTAGTGGTATCGATGAGTCTGAACTCGGTTCTTTACGAAGCCTGTTGCACGTGTTTTCTCATGGTTCAAGGATCTCCGATTCTATTCCAACAAGTTGGCACTGATGGCCAAGGTCTCCATATCTACTGAATTTTAATTCTTTCCTGTGATCAACAGCCGTTATAGCCCCATGTTAAGTGTCTTCTCTGCTTTCAGGGATTGAATGTAATCCTATCAGGTTAGCGGGATTACTAGGATTGATACGAGGAATCAGTGATGCCATTCAGCCGTTCACCTAGTCGAAGTGTGGCTCATCTTGTTGACCTCGCTGCGTCTGCATGCCAATCCTTGATGTTACGGCAATTTAGACCAGGGCTTGTGCCTTGTCAATAAATACATTTATATTCGGTGTGGATTGATTCAACAAGGCGGAGAGATACTGAAATATGAAGGGTCTTTCGGTAGAGACGCAGGCCCATCACAGAAATAGGAATTGTTAGGAGGAAGTTTCCAGAGTGATGTGAGCTCGCCAAGCAACAGTAATAAGAAAGTGGGAGCTAGGAGCAGTGATGCTATCTTAACCCCCCCCCCCAAAAAAAAGGTGCATGCACTGAAAATAAAATCCAAAATCACACAAGGTTAATTTCTGTCCATCTAGTGTCACACCCCCCACTACCTCCTCCCCCTCATTCAAGACGATGACGTCATGGCTGTCACTCCCCGCCTTTCTTGACTTATAATTTATGGGCATTGGGAAAGGCGGCCAGTCGATAATAAGACGCCAAGGAGGGTTGTATGTTCCCTCTTGTTGTTACGTTGCCTGCTAGTCTTTTTTTTTTCCTCTGGCTTATATTTTGTTTTAATAGTGAACTGAAATTCTCAGACAATACTTCATCTTGCTTGTAATAAGTGCAATTTAATTTAGTTTAATCCAACTAAATATGTTTTAGATAAGTTTACAATAATTTAATAATAAACACAATGAAATGTATTTTTTTCGTTGGGTTCAGAATGTTTTTGTGCGAAATTATTGCATAAACAAATTTTCGCTTACCTTATTCGGCGTATTTCTTGCCGAATAAGGCGCACAATATTTCTCTTTTTTTTCTATCGATTTCTATTTCTCGTACACAACAAAAACAATCATCTTTGTCGCTTTCTCCACAGGTTAGCGAGGAGTGCAGGACCTTGAAGCATACACTTACACAAGTGGAGACTGACTGGTCCTCGGCCAAGGTTCAAGTTGGAAGTCTACAGAACAAATTCGGCAACCTGGAGTCTGTACTTCGGGTGAGTTGCCCATCTAGTCTCTCCTTCTCCACATCTCCCTTTCTTGTTTTCATCCCACCCCTGTCTCACCCTTCCACCAGTACTCCCAACCTCCATAGGGTTCTAACCCCGCCCATGGTATGGTTTCTCCAACTACTACTTCCCCACCACCTTCTCCACTCCTAACCATCACAACTTCTGTCTATTTCATTCCATCGCCTCCCCTTTTCTCATTCCCTTACCTTTCTTCTCTATATTCCTCTCTATAATACCCCTCTTCGAATCTCGCT